CTCATATCTGGCTCCCACTCCTTATCTCTTTTTCACTTTCAGTCTCTGTTTAGGCTACTTCCTCATATTTTCTCTGCAGACGAGGGCATGATCAAATATTCACCAGGGCTCAAGCAGGGTGTGTTTGTGAGTCGGAGCAGAGGTGTGGTGGCTCCGTAGGAAACGGGAGAGCCTTTTGATCTTGGCCACTGAGCTGGAGTTTCATCAGGCAAGGACTCCTCTGGCAGGTTTGTGTGGGTAGTATTGGGAAACACACAGAGGACACTAAACTAGCTAACCCAATATTAACATGCAACAGTGCACAAAGATTATGAGTACCTACATCCTCCTCCTTCCTGCCCTTAAAGCGTCCCCCCCTCCCCTCCCACCAGCTCATGCCTCAGGAAGAAGGGGGGCCCAAACACTGTGAACTGTTTATCATCTTTATTACTTTATTACTTTTCAGAGTTTTCCCTAACCTGATTTTATTACATTGTTATCAGATGATGAGTTCTCTCCTCTGTGCGCAGTACTTTTTCTTCTTTGCTTTGCCGCTGACAGTGGAGGTGGATGCAGACAGGAGTTTGGATTTTATTCATCAACTCACCTCAGAGACAAAGCCACTTCTTTCTAACTTACAAACAACTTATAACCTCTTGTTTATTTAGGAAACACTGTGAGTAGCAGCCATTTTTAGATGAAAACCAAAACTATATTCAATTTCAATTCAGTTCAATTCAGTTTATTTATATAGCGCCAATTCACAACACATGTCATCTGAAGGCACTTTACAGTTCACCAGATCATACAGTCAAACTGATTCAAATTTTCTATCTAAGGAAAACCAGTTGAATGCATCGACTCATTGACTCGAATGCAATCCTCACATTAAGCATGCTTGTAGCGACAGTGGAGAGGAAAAAACTCCCTTTTAACAAGAGGAAACCTCCAACAAAACCAGGCTCAGTGTGAGCGACCATCTGCCGAGGCCGACCGGGGTTCAATATACACTATATTGCCAAAAGTATTTGCTCACCTGCCTTGACTCACATATGAGCTTAAGTGACATCCCGTTCCTAATCCATAGGGTTCAATATGACGTCGGTCCACCCTTTGCAGCTAGAACAGCTTCAACTCTTCTGGGAAGGCTGTCCACAAGGTTTAGGAGTGTGTTTATGGGAATTTTTGACCATTCTTCCAGAAGCGCATTTGTGAGGTCGCACACTGATGTTGGACGAGAAGGCCTGGCTCTCAGTCTCCGCTCTAATTCATCCCAAAGGTGTTCTATCGGGTTGAGGTCAGGACTCTGTGCAGGCCAGTCAAGTTCATCCACACCAGACTCTGTCATCCATGTCTTTATGGACCTTGCTTTGTGCACTGGTGCACAGTCATGTTGGAAGAGGAAGGGGCCAGCTCCAAACTGTTCCCACAAAGTTGGGAGCATGGAATTGTCCAAAATGTCTTGGTATGCTGAAGCATTCAGAGTTCCTTTCACTGGAACTAAGGGGCCAAGCCCAGCTCCTGAAAAACAACCTCACACCATAATCCCCCCTCCACCAAACTTTACACTTGGCACAATGCAGTCAGACAAGTACCGTTCTCCTGGCAACCGCCAAACCCAGACCCGTCCATCAGATTGCCAGATGGAGAAGCGCGATTCGTCACTCCAGAGAACGCGTCTCCACTGCTCTAGAGTCCAGTGGCGGCGTGCTTTACACCACCGCATCCGACGCTTTGCATTGCACTTGGTGATGTATGGCTTGGATGCAGCTGCTCGACCATGGAAACCCATTCCATGAAGCTCTCTGCGCACTGTTCTTGAGCTAATCTGAAGGCCACATGAAGTTTGGAGGTCTGTAGTGATTGACTCTGCAGAAAGTTGGCGACCTCTTCGCACTATGCGCGTCAGCATCCGCTGACCCCGCTCCGTCAGTTTACGTGGCCTACCTCTTCGTGGCTGAGTTGCTGTCGTTCCCAAACACTTCCATTTTCTTATAATACAGCTGACAGTTGACTGTGGAATATTTAGGAGCGAGGAAATTTCACGACTGGATTTGTTGCACAGGTGGCATCCTATCACAGTTCCACGCTGGAATTCACTGAGCTCCTGAGAGCGACCCATTCTTTCACAAATGTTTGTAAAAACAGTCTGCATGCCTAGGTGCTTGAATTTATACACCTGTGGCCATGGAAGTGATTGGAACACCTGATTCCAATAATTTGGATGGGTGAGCAAATACTTTTGGCAATATAGTGTATATCTATATACATCTTACAAAGTTATCGGTCACACAAACACCTGTGTATTTTATTAGGAAACAGGTTGTTTTTTGTAAGATCATGGAAAATGGAAACATGGTTTTTAGTGTGTTTTATATATAAAAAATATGTTTTGTGCATCACTATTAGGCACCTTTTCATCTTAAACTCCTTAAACAAGACTCCAGTGCAAGCAATTGCTTACTGGGGTCATTTAATTAGTAAATTGTGGCGACGTGTTTGAATCTCAGTATAAATCTAGCTGTTCTGTAAAAGCCTTGGAGATCTATTGTAGGACATCAATGAACAAATGGGATCAGGGAGCTCAAGGAACACAGATGAAAGGTCAGGGAGAAAGTCGCTATAAAAAAAAAAAAAACAGTCCAAGCTTCGGACATCTAGTAAGAAACTAGTAAGAAAAAATCTAACACCTAAAATTGGAAATCTGAGATGATGAGTATCCCAGGAGGGGCATTAAACAGTGAGGCTGCAGAGAGGTGGGAGAACCATAGTTTGCAGGACAGTTGGTGGTTGTGCAGTTTTATTAAAATAAAAGGGCATCAGTAAAATACATTTATACAAAAATCATTTTTGAAGTTTCCTGCTGTCCATGTAAAGAACATCTAAGGTGAAAAATGGTGCTCTGTAACCAAAATTCATCTTTATAAAACAAAACGATTATCTTGTCAGAAAGAATAAAATACGTAACAGATCCCAGCAAACTATTCCCACAGTGGAACATGTTGGTGAGCTACATCATGCAGTAGAGATGCCTCTGTTTAGCAGGGACAGAAAAACTGGTGAGAGATGATGAGGGGAAGGATGAGGCTAATTAAAGATGTGAGACTGGGACAGATGACCCCAAAAAATGCCAGAGCTATAAAGTAATGGTTTAGATAAAAAAAAATAATCCTGTTTTAGCACAAACCAAAGTACAATCTTAAATTCCACTGGGGATCTGTGGTAAAAATGGTCACAAAAAAGGTCATAGATGTATGTAGTTGGTAAAAACGTACCTCAAAACACTTGTTCTGAGAGCCATTCTCTCAGGGAGCTAGACACAAATGCATGCCACACTTTAAAGTAATGCAAAAGCCATAATATTGCTTTACAATCATGCTCTACTTTGGTCTGCAAATAGAATAAATTAAAGAAAATATGTTTACAGTATGCACTTGTAAGATGCTATGTACCTCTGGAAGAGATTAGTGTGATTAATCTCACCGGCACAACCATACTATGCTGCATATTTTGATTTTTTTAGGAGGGGTATGTTTTCCATGTCACTCATAATATATTATGAAATTTAGCAAACAGTCTGATGGGGTTTAGTAGGGCAAGTTGCCACACAGCAAAAATAAATGCCTTGGAGAAAATGGGATCCAGTTAAAACCAAATCAAACTAAAACAGCTTGGAGATCATTAATATCTTTCTGTATGTTTTGTTTTTATTAATTATGGTGTTAAATAAACACATTTATACACAGGATGACATTCACTGGAACTTGATCATATGACTTTAAGTTTTCAGACCCCAGGAAGATTAGTGGCCATTTATTTGGCAGCTAATGGGGATCCTAATAAAACTAAACTAAACCAGGGATCACCTTCATAACGCAGCAACATCATCTTTCCAGCGTCTCACTTTCTCTCTGGGGCCACCTCACAGCCTCCAGCCCACGATGTTTCCCAATGAGCCTGCTGTCGTATAGATCCAGTCAGCAGCCGAGGGAAGCACATTGATTTCTCGTCAGCATCGCTGCGAAAGGAGCTGGCGCGCCAGGGCGAAGAAGGAGCAGCCGGGGGAGCATCGGTACCCCGCAGGCGTCCTCGCAGCTGCGCGCTGCGTTGTTAATGCGGCCCATTAGGCCGCTGAGTGGCAGAGAGATCCCGTGAATATTGAGTTTGGGGGGGGGGGGACACCCCTCAATTAGACAGATCGCCCCGCACCTCGTCAGCATCCGGCTATCTGTGCGCCCATAAATCAATGCCACAGGCGAGGGAGACGAAAGTTAATTTAGTGGAAGTTTGCAGCAGAGTGTATATATATATATATATAGCCTATATATATATATATATATATATATATATATATATATATATATATATATATATATATATATATATATATATATATATATATATATATATATATATATATATATAATTCTTTTTTTTTCTTATTTACATGATTTTTTCATGATGGGCTACTTTATAGATAATTTAAAAAAATGCAGACTATTTAACTTTGTGTAATGTTTCAGGATGTGACATATAAACCCTTCAGTTGAGCCCGATCATATGTTTTCTCTTAGACAAGTCGGGCTCTGTTGCCAGCGTTAGTTATTGTGAACGCTAAACTTGATTTGCACTTCGGTCTCATTCTCTGTCCAAAAAGCGATCAGCGCTGCCTCCTCAGGAAGCTCCAAATAAGGACAGGGAAATGGAAACCCACCGGAATAGGTCCTTATGTAGTCACGACCTTATAAGGAACGGCGGTTCAGAGGGTTCCGGGAGCAGCCGGCAGCCCGCTGCACAGATGGGAGATCCGAATCAAATCTATCTGAGCACCGAGAGAGAGTGAAAATAACGCCGCTTGTCTACCGGAGCCGCCCGGCTGTGAAGACGCATGGATTCTGGACCGGAGAGGGGGGGGGGGGGGGGTGTATTCGCAAATTTACTGCAATCGGTTAATATAAAGTCGCTCCTCTGCTGTCCCTCTGCCTGGTGTGTTCTCCACCGCAATGCCTAAATATGGGCTTCCTCAGCCTCCTTTTATGGACATCTACGTCACGACAAGAGTGTATATAAGAGCAGGGAAACCTCGCAGCTCTTAGAGAGAGCTCTGAGAGCCCACATGAGCAACAGTTAGAACAGCGACACACAGAAGTCCCTGCCTGAGAAATATCACTACAAAAGTGAAACAAAAAAGTCAAAACAACAACCATAGAAGACAGTCAGAGCCTGATTGGAAAGGTAGCCTTATTTAATGTAAAAAAAAAAAAAGATTGATCAATTTTGATTAATCTTAGGAGATGAGTGTAGAGGACTGAATATTTATTTTCTTGCTGAAAATACGAGTGGATTTTTCTCATCTCTGAGAGGAAAAGGAAAAAACATCTACTGGAGAAGAAGAACTACGGAGCAAGGTCTTCCACTGCATCGGCTGAAGTGTTGGGCTAAGTGATCTCCTCCACCTGTGAGGCACTGCTCTGCCAGCACACACAGCGATTCCGAAGCAGCCACCAGCGCAGCCTCAGCACCAGCAGAGGATGGCTGCAGCCAAGACCGAGATGATCCTCCCTACCCTGCAGATCTCAGAGCCTCTGAGCTTTCCTCACTCCCCCATGGATAACTATCCCAAACTGGAGGAGGTGATGATGCTCACCAATGCAGGGACCCCCTTCCTCTCTGCCTCCGCACCCGAGGGTGCAGGCTTTGGCTCCGGGGAACCAGGGGAGCAGTATGACCACCTTCCTGGAGGTAAAACATGAGCTTCTTTCAGCTTGTTTTAAATAATGCTGTGCTATGTTAAGATAATATTTTATGAGTTGCAGAAAAGAGTTCACATAAAACTTTGATAAATTTCTACATTAAAATTTTTAACAATTTTAAACTGTTATTTCTTAAATTACCAGTATCATGACTTTGGGAAGTAAAGATAAATAGATATTAATTATGCTTATGGAACCTTACAAAAGCAAGATAAATATAAATAAAATGTTTATACATCTACATGATTTACCTTTTAAAAAGTCAAATGGGGCTCAGTCACTACATGCTTGATAGACTTTTTCCATTCAATTTAAATTAGATTCCTAAAACCCGCTGAGCTGCAGCTTTTGGTAATCAATTGCCTCTGGCTCTAATGGTCTTTAGGAATCTGTGATTCCGTGTGTGTTCGTGCAACACAGGAAGACAGAAAATGAAAGAAAGATCGAGATATTGTTCATAGAGGAAAATGTGACCCCAGGAAGCACGCACAACTGCTTGCTCTGACACAGAGACAGTTTACAAGCTGGGAGATGAGAGTTTATTAGAGAGTGTTTAATTTAATGATATTAAATGGAGTAGAGAGTGTGATTCGCTGCCTACCTCTGGCAGGAGTATTTTTTTTTATAGAAAATGACATTTTGACTTATTTCTCTTTTTCTTTTCTACTCTCTGCAGATACATTATCTGATATCCCCTTCTCCTGTGAAAAGTCTATTGGGGAGCAAACATATCCCACCCAGAGGCTGCCTCCTATATCCTACACTGGCCGTTTCACCCTTGAACCCGCCACCACATGCAGCAACAGCCTCTGGGCGGAGCCCATCCTGGGGCTGTTCACCGGCCTTATGGGCAATGTTGCACCTGCCTCCAGCTCTTCCTCAGTTTCCTCACAGACCTCCTCGTCCTCCTCGTCAACCATCCCATCCTCATCCACTTCTTCCTCCTCAACCTCTTCCACATCTCAAAGCTCCAGCCTCAACACCTCAATCCACCACAGCGAACCCAATCCAATCTACTCAGCTGCCCCAACATACTCCAGCCCCAACTCCGACCTCTTTCCAGACCAGAGCCAGGGTTTTGTCAGCTCAGCCGGATCAGTGCAGTACCCACCGCCTGCATACCCTAATAGCAAGACAAGTTTCCCTGTGCCAATGATTCCTGACTACCTCTTCCCCCAGCAGCAGGGGGAGATCAGCCTGGTCCCTCCTGACCAAAAACCCTTCCAGAGTCAGTCAAACCAGCCCTCACTTACTCCTCTGTCAACCATCAAGGCCTTCGCCACTCAGACGGGTTCCCAGGACTTAAAAACTGTCTACCAGTCCCAGCTTATAAAGCCCAGCCGCATGCGCAAGTACCCCACACGGCCAAGCAAGACGCCACCACATGAAAGGCCCTATGCTTGCCCTGTGGAGACCTGCGATCGTCGCTTCTCACGGTCCGATGAGCTGACTCGTCACATCCGCATTCACACCGGTCAGAAACCCTTCCAGTGCCGCATCTGCATGCGAAACTTCAGCCGCAGCGATCACTTGACAACGCACATCCGCACTCACACAGGTGAGAAGCCCTTTGCCTGCGAGATCTGCGGACGCAAGTTTGCCCGCAGTGATGAGAGAAAGAGGCACACAAAGATCCACCTCAGGCAAAAGGACAAGAAGGCAGAGAAGGCTGGAGCTGCCGTGGTAACGTCAGCGCCAGCATCTTCTGCCTCCCCCGCCTCCAGCTACCCCTCTCCCATCACTTCTTACCCCTCGCCAGTATCTTCCTACTCCTCTCCAGTGACCTCCTGCTACTCCTCTCCCGTCCACACTTCCTATCCCTCTCCATCCATCGCCACCACTTACCCATCGGCGTCCATGTCCACCACCTTCCAGTCTCAAGTCGCCACCTCATTCCCTTCATCAGTTGCATCCAACATCTACAGCTCTCCGGTGCCCACGCCACTTTCAGACATGCACAGCACCGTCTCCCCGAGGACAATCGAGATCTGCTAAAAACAGAGCAGAGAGAAAAACTTTTTGTACTCTCAATGCACTTCTCCTTCTGCAAGGTTTTCATTTTAGGGAGAAAAATAAATCAGTATCAAAAGGACTTCTTATTTCCCTCCCCCTAAAAGCACTTTTTTCCCCTCCTGGGTGTAGTGCAGGTAAATCTTGAGATTTGTCTGAAAGAAACTACGAAACAAAACAAAAAAAACATGTCAAGGACTGGGCAAGGACAGTACAATGTTTAAAGGGATTTTATACCGTCTCTTTAAAAAACTGCAGCCCTTCAGATGCATATAGGACTCTAGAGACAAACAGAAAACAGCTCTGGCGGGTCTGTGCTATCAGGTACCCAAAAAACAAAACAAATAAACCTAAAACAAGAGACAGACGGATTCCTCAGGCACGTTCGTGCTTGAGGCATTTATACAAAAGACAATGAATGATATACATAAGCTATCAAATATGTATATTGTACATGTGCCATGTTTTGTTTTTATCACTCCTTGGTACCACTGATGTGAACAATTATTTGCATTGTATTATTTGAAGTGAGCAGGGCCATATTTTCTACATACTTTCTCTATTATGTAGTGATGATGCTGTGATTCGTTTTGACATTTTTTGAGATAAAAAAAGAAGCACTTAAGTATTCGAGCATGAGTAAGAGTGATGTTAGTTTTTGTTGTAAATATCATCCACTGGTACTATCTCTTTCTCACATGTGACATATCGCTTGGTTATATTAAAAAAACTGAGAAATGGAAAAAAAAAACCTGAAAAAAAAATCTTAAACAGACAAATGCTCCTGTTATTTGGTGCCTTTCGTGAAGCCTTGCAGATTTTGTAACTCGGCTGAGTGTGAGAGTGGATGCACTGCATCTCGCCTTAAGTGTTAAGGGAATATTTTTGTTACAAAATGTACGCACTCAGAGGGAGAAAGAAAAAGGGACGAGCTATGAGGGCACCGCTTCATTTTATCAGAATGTAAGCAAAAAAAAAAAAGGAAAAAAAACCTAAAGTATATTTTTGTAAATGTAAATATCCACATCTTCAAGAGCTGGAATGTTGAAGTTACCTACTAAGTAGGCATGGGATTCTTTTGTATGTTATATACATGCAGTTCATTATTTTGTGGTTTACTTTATTTTGTATTTGTGTTTGTTTAAATAAGTGACTGTTTCTGGCTTCTAAACACATTGAATGCGCTTAACTGCCAATAGGATATTTGTTGTACAAGATATCCTTCCAGAAATGAAATATAAATAAATAAATAAAAATATGAATATATATCAAGACTTGTTTTCATATTTTGTTGCTAGACTGCCCTGTTTCTGAAGATACTTTAGGCAGCTTTGGAAATCACTTAGAATCATTCGAATTCTACTGCAATCAAACTAGATGTTTGATTTTAATCAGTCCATCTAAACCATAAAATATTAATTTCAATCTCTATATAGTCATTGCAGTCTTATTCTACTGATAACAGCATCCCACCAAACACTTAAGATGAACAACTTTTATCTAGATTAAACATCCTCTGGAAGATATTAAACTTAGTTCCATTTCTCTTTTATTAGAGATTGCTGGGCAAACGTGCTTCCAGCTATTTGATCTTTCACAAAAATCTGTCTCTTTATGTGCTGACAGAGAAATGATTTTTGGTAGTTATATTCACAGACCTGAGGCTTGCACTGACATATTTTCATGGTATACAGGTGAAATCCATCACACAATAATTGCCCCTCTTTTCAGTTGACGAAACGCTGTCACCATTTTAGCAGGGGAGCTGCAGAGGTTGACTGGTTGATGCAGGTGGTGGTGGTAACTTTTTCACGGGTGCAACAGAGACAGCCCGGCCCTGAGGGGTTTCCCAGCTTCGTTTCACCATCGTTACTCAACGGCCACAACATTCCCAAGCTAAATGAATAAAAAAAGCATTTTTTCTTTTACTGATAAAAAAAAAAAAAAAGCAAGTGTAGACGTAAGGCAGCTTCTCTGTGAGCTATGAAGTAATTTTGTTATGTGAAATGCATGAAACAAAACAACCACAAATGCAGACACAGCTAAAATAGAAAGCGGGAAAACAGGCAGACGTGAGTGATGGAGGGAAAAGCGGAATAATTAAGATAATTGGTCTCTTGATCCCGGATTTCCAAACTGAGTCTGATGAGTTTTGTTTATATCCATGCATGTCCCTCTGTTGCTGGGGATCAGTTTTTCAGTCTAGTCAGCCATATGTAGAACTGATGATGAGCTGCTGCCAATGTACAGGAACACTGTTGTGCATGGGGTTTTCCCAGATCTTGTTTTTTGATTTAAGGTTGTAAATGTTTCTCTTCATAATCCTCATTGTTATAAAAACAGCCATATATTGGCAACATCTTTGCTTGTTCATGGATTTCATATACCATAGCATGATACCACAATAAAAAATTAAATATTTAAGCTTTAACTAGATTTTTTTTATTTAGCAAAATTGATGTATCATCTGGGCGTGCAGGTGGAGCAGCGGTTAGCACGCATGACTCTTGTACGGAGGCCTTAGTCCTCAATGTGGCCGACCCGGGTTGGAATCCGACCTGTGGTCCTTTGCCGTATGTCCCCCCCCCCCCCCCACACCCCTTTCCTGTCAGCTTACTGTCAAAAAAACGTGCAACTAGTGCCATAAAAACTCAAAAAAAAAAAAAGCAACAAATAAGCAAAATTGATGTATCATTTATCGAAAATATCTGTTTTTCATCCAGAATTGAATCTGTAACTGTTGTGAATTCAGTCATTTTTGTCATCATTTTGCTGAAAGATAATGTAAGATTATAAGCTTAAGCTTACTGGCAGATGCCATTTATTTATTTATTTTTAGTATAATGCAACCTCATTTGTTAATTGAATTAAAAGGGGTTTATGAAACATTTTGGAAGACAAACAGACCCACAGCATCACAGATCCTCCACCATGCTTAACAGTGGTGGTATTCAATATATCCATCTTGTGTGTCTTGCCAAACCAAAGTGAAGTGCTCTTTGTTTATTTGATAAAATGTAAAACATTCTAGCTGGGCAGAGTTTAGAAAAACCATAAACTTTTGTTTTTTGATAGGACAGGAAATGTTTGTTTATTTTATGATACCATCCTAAATAAACAAACAAACAAACAAACAAACAAAAAACAAAGAAGTAAGGTTATAAGAGATATTTAAATTTGGTGAACCAAAATAACGCATTTTATTGCATTTCTTGTTTTGTTTTTCTCTGAGCATCCTGCATAACTTGGACTCTCTATTTAAACTATTGACCCGAAGCTAAAGAAACAGCCCTCTGTGTCACATTTTATTACATCCCCTAGAAATAAGAATTCCTGCATTATTTATTTAAGGTTACAAGAACCTCAAATGAACTTTAAAAGATAAAGCTGGCCAATACGTTTTAGCAGTTCCTCAGCTACATTTATTTTAAATTGATAACAATTAATGTCAACATTAATGTATTTAAAACTCTTATTTATTGACATTGAAACTGAATGAACACTTAAATCAAATTTTGGACAACCTTGTATTTTAAATGTGGTATTTGGCTTCTGGGGTGAAATACCCGCCACTTTTTTCATGTATTCTCATCAGAAAGGTCGACAAACCCACCCATAGGAAAAAAACAAACAAAAACAAAACAACAAAAGAAAACATTTAAGAAACTAAAAGGGAAAAAAAACAAAAAACAAGCAACTTTACCTTAATTTTTAGTGTTTCGTAATCTAAATTACAATCTAAAATCAAGAAAAAAGGCAAGTCTGGACTACTTAAGACTTCAAATTTTGAATCCTATATGCTTATATATATTTGTCAAATGTTTGAACATTTTTGTTTATTTTGCAGCCATTTTCTAATTTGAAAGTTATAAGTTTTGGTGGAAATTTGATAGTGAATTTCCCTTGAGTGGAGATCAAATATCCAGTATATGCACCTGTAATATTGCACTTGTAAGGCATCTACCATTGACATGAAACACAACGTAAAGTTATTTGAAATAATGCTGCCAAAAAAGGAAAAAAACTAAACATTGCCTCAGTTTCTTGTAACCCATTTGCGCTTCTGCCCTTTTATAAATATTTTAAAATGAGCACATAAGAAAACTGTTTTCCTCACATAAACAAATCATCTTTACACTTAGATAATGCATGTAAACGTTTTAAAGATGATGGAAGATTATTCGCCGTTTTTTGGGAGGGGAATTCACAAAACTCTTTGTGTGGCTTCGACTCCTGAAATCTGACGCGTCCTCTCATCGTTAGCAGAACCATTTTTTTGTGTCTAACTGCAAGAAAGAGCTATTCAGCAGCTTTTAAAGCTACAGTGTGTAATAATTACAGGCATATAAATTCAGAAATTTAATATATTATACATAACTATGTTATTTATCATCACCTATGAGCTCAGCCTTTTAACCATAACATTTGCGTTGCCTTAGAATTCGTTATTTATAATTACATAGGAGCGGGTCTCGCAGCCATGGAGGCTGACATCTTTGCGCTACGGCAGCGCAGAGGCAACAAACTAGCGATTGCGAGATCTCCCATGACGCTCGAAAATAACTACGGCAAGTTGAGAGAGATGAACTGAGACGGTACTGAACAGTAGATGGCAGTATTATGCCTGAGAAGCGTTTAGTCTGCCTGAAACCAAAGAAGAAGAAGAAGCAGGTATACTGCGCCTCGGTAACAAGAAAGGTAAACAAGGCGGCAGGCGTGAGTGACTTTGCAAACTGTTTGGCACTGTGTGGCCAAACATCAGACGAATGGAGGATCATGTCTACTCTGTATCACAACGAAAAGCGGCGGACACCGAACCCCCGTCATCTAAGAAGCGGAAACACGACGAGAATAAACGCAAGAGTGACAAGAAACGACAAAAAACACGGATCAACATTGGCACGGCATTTACACGATGGAAGTCACTGATGGAGGAAAAAGGTTTTCAAAGTGACGCTCAAGTTGCCAGTTTTCTCTTGGACAGGTAATTAATCCTATACACACAATTGTCTAATATCACTGCAGTTTTTGGAGTACAGGATGCTCAGACCTGTCTAAAACAATAACATGCTGCGTGATGATGCTGTTACTCTCCAGTATACTTATTCAGCAACGTCCCTGACGTTTCACAGGTAATGATTCAGTAATTTTCTGTAAAATAATTTTCTGGATATATACCTCGGTTACTTCTCTCCGGCTCCTTTGGAGATCTTCAAGCCTTTCCTCCTCTGCTCTCACCCCGCTGGCTCCCCTCTCTCGCCTGGCCCCAGCTGCACGCTCACCCCGGCCTCTCTGCCCTCTTCCTTCCCCTCTTCCTTGCCTTGTAACCCCCGTGCCACAAACAAGACTTGGACTCTGTAAACGGGGAATATATATTCTTCCAGCGAACACAATCTCGCTGTTAAACTAATGACTACAATTACTTCGTCTGTCTATATCACCATGCAAAGCAGCTCACCAAAACGTCACAACAACGTAGAAAAAATAACGGGTATATTTATTATCTTAAGTCTACATGAAATCTATACCCTACACAGACTAATGAAATACTATCTGTAAAATTATCTATGTAAACAAACCTCATCACTTGAGAAGGTAGGTGATGCGGACGTCGTGGAAGACATTTTGTCCCGTAACGCTCGCCGTACTGTTGGGGGGGAGAAGCGGTGGGGGGGAGACGTTCATGTTGCTGCAGTCTGCAGTCTGACCGCTAGATGTCGCTGAAAATTACACACTGTAGCTTTAAATAAAAAACTTTCTCACATTGCCACACTTTTGGAAAGTCTCTAACTGGAAACCGCAAACTGTGCTTCTCTCAGCCATTTTGTATAGTTAGACGATAATATTTCAACCAGTATTTGTCACACAGGGGGGGCTGTGGCCTGAATTTGTTAAGGTCTTTAACCAGAATGCTGTAGAGATGCAACCAATGCCACGGAAAGAACGCTGGAATTATGTAGCTTATGATTGTGTTTGATTCAGGGCTCTTCCTCACAGTTCAAAGCTCATGTGCTGGGTGTGTTCTATCAGAGGAGAGTCAGAGGAGATGCATTTGTGGCTTCACTCTGTTGTAACCCACAGAGGAGCCACCTCAAGCACCCCAGTGGGCTTCCACTTCAAGAGACCAGCCTTTGTTCAAAAATGTATTTGTTCTCATATTCTTTTTGGGAACTTTGTATAACAAAAAAAAAAAAAAAAAAAAATTTGAACAGCGAAGGGAACTGTTCTTTCTCCCCACAGCCCAACATCCCCATCCCAGCGCCACC